ACCATCAGCCTGTGTGTATGTTTGGGGGGAGGTTACTCGGATCATTGGGGCTGTCGCAGCCTGGAATACGCAAGCCATGTATTATCTGCATTTTCATGATAGCCGCGCAAACCTCTTCGGCGTTTTCGGTCCAAAACCACAATTTTCTTTATTCTGGACGACTCATTGGCGTGGAACCCTGTGCGTTATTGTCGTTGGCGCCGGTGTCGCATGTGGTAGATTATTTCCGCTTCGAAAGCTTCCAGACTCACCTGCTCTCGTCCGATAGACGCTTCAGGCTTTCCAGAATCTGTTTGTGATCCACCATGTGGTTGAGATACTTGGATACCTCTTCCTCACCCACCACATAGCCCTTGCCAATGTCGTACCCCAGCGACAGCCGCTGGTTCACCTGTCTATTCAAGAAGTCTAGAATCCGCGGCACCGCCGGCTGTAATGAATGAGACGCAAATATTAACATCTTACTGATTTAGCATACCATTAACATGTATCGTGAGGTTAGAGTTTTCAGTTCCTTTCTTCGCGCCAATTTATTCACAGTAATGAAGCAGACATGCAACACGTTGACATGAGCCATCGCATTTCAGCGAACCTGATCTACGTTATCTATGTTTTTCATTTCGATCACACATAGCAGCGTTTTGAAACGGAAGCACGCATCCGACGAATAAGTTCAAAAAGCGGACATATTTAGATTTAGAAAGGCACGAAGAGGAAAACCTTATCACATGGCAACAGGCAAAGGTGCACAGCTGACCTGTATTTTTTGCACTGCTCGAAACAAAATGATGATTTGAATGTTCCAGTATGTATGTCCCAGTTTCCCTCCACTTCGTTCTGACCGCCCGCATGATCACATCCATCGCATAATCATGAACCATGGCCCATTTTCCACAGGAGGAAAACGGCTTCTGAGCCGACGTGACCCCGTGACCTCACAGGCGGCCCCTAGCTCGGTTCTGGTCCGCGTCGCCGTACCTTGATGAGCCGCAGGACCCGGGTGAGGCGAAACAGACGTAGGAAGCGGATGTTACGCAGGATGGCCGGACTGAGGATCTTGTACTTCTCGTCGACGCCCTCCCGGATGACCATATCGCAGATCTCGAACACGATGTCGGCCACGGAGAGCAGCACCACCGCGAAGTCCAGCTTGTCCCAGTGCGAGTGCCAGTAGTTGCAGAAGCCGAGGCCCAGCACCTGACCACGACGTTTCCAGCAGTGACACACCAGGAAACTGGTCCGAAAACACATGTTTCCCATGTAATGGTAATGCATGAGGTGATTGTTGAGGAAGCCATGCATGAAAACCCTTGCATTTCGCTTCGTTAACACGCGCCCGGGTTGCCGGTTAAATACCCTTTGCTCGGGTGGGCTGGGGATGGGCAGTTTGAATCCCCGAGATCTCAAAAATTGAGAGAGCTAGATATAAAAAGATTCACAGAGTGGGTTGGTCTGCATGTGATCTCACATGTGTCAACATTTCAAAACCCTAGCTCGTGACCTTGGGGTTAAATAAGGTCAAACAAAGTCAAACTTAAGATTGGTGTCGGAAGTGCCCCCCCCCCCTCCCAAGACCTCCTCATGGGAGTGTCTTTGACTAGCTGGCTGCTCTCAACAAATGTCACTAGTTTCAATTTAAGGTCAGTCACCTTTTTACCTTTCGACATCCCGACTTGACTCGATCAAACAAAATGATGGCGAAATTATCTTGCATCTTCACGATGGGTCTCTAAAATCACCTACCTAATTTCAACACAAAATGCATACCTTTCATGCATGCATGCACTTTGCCTTTCAAAAGTGGACAAATGTGTCAGGCTTCCCTGCCGACGGAGTACTGCTGACCTTTTCTCCGATGACCTTGTGCACGACCATTTCGTGCCCGTCCGCACCAGTGATGTTGATGGTGCGGTCTGCGGAGGAGCCCAGGTACGGGTCCTGGTAGATGATGAGCGCGAGCGAGAGGCCAACAGCGCCGCGCAGGCCACCCCAGATGATGACGAGCGGGCTCTGCCACGACAAGCCGTAACCGATCCGCGACAGCAGCGGGAAGAACATCACCATGACGCCTCTGACGGTCGCCAGAAGGGGGGGGGGGGGGCGTCAGCTGGGCGGAGAGAATGTGGAGCCATCCGTCCAGTCCGGCGTGAGTCAACATCGTGTACGGCTTTACAAATCGGCCAGCGGAGCGATTTCCGCAGGGGTTGGTGTAGAACCGATACCAGACAAACGTAATAATAGTTCAATATCGTGTGCATGATAAACACATCTACACGAAGATGCGCTACCGATGTTTCGAATTTATATAGGCGACCTCATGACTGATCTCTTGAGAAGCATAATGCACCACCTGGTCATATCTGCGATCCGAAGAACTTCTTTGACGATTTACCTAACACTTGCAAAGGGCCAACACACCTCAGTATTAGGCCAACTGGTGCTCTGTAACACAGCATTAAATTTTGCCGATTTATTAAGGTAGCGCACAAACGTGATTCAAGGACCGTTCACTATTTGAGCCAGGTAAGGAACATATATATATATATATATATATATATATATATATATATATATATAAAATGCATATTAAGACAGAACCGAACCTGTTGAAGTTTGCTCCAATGTAGAGAACGAAGGTGTCCAGCAGGTCCTTCTTGGTGAACACCACTGCTGCCTGCTCTGTGATAACGATGCCGACCAGGATGAAGATGACGGTGTTAGCCAGATAGGCCAGCATCTCCCAGAACCTGTACGGCAGCCATACGTGATCACGTGCTGTTGTGACGAGGCCATGTCATCGCCCACATGTTTGGTATCATTTGATGCTGGCAGGCATAAATGTTATGTCCCCCGCCTGATTCTAACGTAGACCAAGTCATGGAAAAGCTTGCAGCATTCTAAATGTGACATACATTATTGTTTCCCACCAATTAGGGCTGTCTTTGAAACCATTCGAATCATTGGGTGTATTGTTTCGCCGCAGTGTTTCGGCAAAACGCACCTTAAATAGGGTTCTTGTCCACGATTGGAAGGTATAAATCTTTCGCTCACAAACAGTATTTTCTGCGCTAACATCATATTTAAAGACCCCTGTGAAATGGCTGAGACCACCAATACTTTGAAGTTGATTTTTATTTTAAGAATGCAGCATTCGCGATATATTTTAGAGGAACATCAAGACCTAAATCAAATGGTTTATAATCGAAAAACACGAACTTGTTCTGGAATGCTAAAAAGTTGACATTCTTTTGTGGACTAAACCAGCAAATACGGGAATGGTTTCAGTCAGAAAGCGCTTCACACGCTCTGAAATTAGCCGTTCGAGGAGGGCACGTGCTCTTGACAGCACCTCTTTGGTACCCTGCCGCGGTTCACTGTATATGTGCAAAGATGGTTCCACTTCAGGCGAAATGGACGTCTTCTTGGAGTTTATGACGACACCCAAGCAGACAACAGCCATCACACCAAATACCTCTGCGGAAAAGATAATCGATTTTGACGCATATATTGCAGCATCATGCGACCAACATACAACGTGAAAGTTGGGAAGTGACTAATGTGATCATAGTGAACATATGATAAAGCGAGGAACGCCTTTGAAAGCATCAGTTAAGCGTCTTAGAAAAATGCACGCATTGATCGTTTTCGCGAGAATTGCAGGCCCTAAACACTTGAAAATGTGTTACAAATGCCTGATAGTTGTGCACACGACTTCGTTTCTTCCACGTTCGAGGGCATTTTTGCTCACTCAAAATGACTTCACCAACGTAGAAAGTGAAATACGCCGCTACGATCGTGAGCGTGATTTCAGATACGGCGTCGTTGAAGATCCGAGAGAGCCAGAAGACGACGAAATGGCCACAAGCTACAAGGTGGTGGCCTTGTGAGGCCGTTCATCACCTGGTCGTTTGGTAAAGCAATGGTTTGCACTCCTCCACTGTTACCTCCTACATCAACGTCGCGATGAGTGGTATTTCTGACCCTCCAAGGAGGTTGGTGGTCCAGCGGCACCCCACTGGTCGTGCGCGGCCGACTGCGCGGCAATAAGTGGCGCACACGGCGGCCGTGACTCACGAGCCCACTGCTGGTCACTTGGCCTCCCCGCGTGACCGCCTCACTGAGCAGATGGACGGAAGTACGCCATTACGGATTGGTGCGCCACCTCCAGTTCACCGGCACCGTTGGACAGCTTCGGAACGGACAAGAGATCAGCGCTGCAGCTCCACGAATCAGAGCTTCTGACTGACTTTGTCAGAACTGCTGTAGCCGAACGTAGATATGAGGCTTCGGGATGTGCACAGGGAGTGAACGCAATATTTGGTATCAGGTCCAGTTACTGGGGCGTGCATTTATTAGATCCCGATCTACGGAAATGAACAGCTTAAATTAGGCACCACTGTGGCTAGAGGGAGCTTCTGGGGCTATTCCCCGCCACCTGGAGGTGACACAGCCCTTGAGGCCAAACGTTCCAGTGCGTTTTGTTGCTTTAAGGCGCCCTCCAGACTTTTTAAACGTAACAGGTGACCACTGAGACATCAAACTGAATCTCAAGCCAGACGATCTTCAACTTAAAAAACATAGCTTCTAAGATTCCTTTGCGTTGAGGAGAAGCACCGCCTGTGAACACTTCGGCCACCTCCGAGGCGAAACCCGGCTACGCCACTGGAATTACTCGTGTGTCGGCCCCTGGCTTGCTATCTCGATGTTCGGTGGAGCGACTGGGTACCGCGGGAGCGCTGGGAACGAGGCTGCGAGCTGCAGGCGGCATCAGGGACAGCGGTAATGTGCTGGGGCCACTGGCGCGGCGCGCCATTTGCCGGCATGTTGTGGCGCGAAATCGCGCTTGCAGTGTCCCGCGCTGCCGCGGCCCACATCGAGAGAGCCGCGGTCGAACAGCTCCGCCGCCACCGAAACCACGGCACCCGCAGACCGCGAAGGGGTAGGCTCGCAGCGTTTATTGCCGCGAACTTTCGCAACACGAATCAACGAATACACAGCAGTTGTTATGTACAGCGGTGGTCACGGCTCACACACGGGTACGCGGGCGCACGCAGCCGGTGCATCTAAATCATCTAGTTGCACACGTTGGTAACGAAACAACAGAACAATGTCTACTGAACTGCCATATTTGGATGATGCGGTAACACCGACTCCTGGATGTTTCTGACCAATGATTGGACACCCAGTGGAGCTACTGAAAGCTGCTTCGGAAATTATGACTGGATCAAATGTGTTCGCTCTACCTAGTGTCTGCGAATATTTCACCTGCCCCGTTAATGCCTGAGTCGTGTACGCGAATGTACAACTGCATTCTGTAGAGGTCAGTGCGTCGCATACACCATAAATGCCGTGGTGTTATCAGCATTTTGCTCGCATAAATCTTATAGCTCGTGGTTAAATACATATTTTTTTAAAGATCTATGATCGTAACCACCATTTGCAAGGATATTCTCTAGCTGTTTCAACTCATAAGCAGTCGTACAATGGCTTTTTGTTACAACAGCTACAGCACAGTATACAACAGTTAGGCATCTGAGAGCTATACGCAACCACACAGAAATGCACCACTTAAGGTAACAGACTTGACAAGATCACAAACCTGATCGACGACCAAGCTTAAACTCTTCCATCGCCCCACACCGACAGTCGCACATGCTGTCCCGCAAAACACCAAAGACAAACACGCTCGCCCACACGCATGGGCCGACGCCCCTCTCAGCGCGCGCTCGCAGCACGGCAGCTGCCGCCCACGCTTCATTCGCTCACCCGGAGCATGGAGGGACGGTCGCCCGTTCTCGAGACACCCCGGGACAGCCGCGAGTCGACGAGCGACGGTCGGGAGGCACGTCCGGGAGCGCTGTGCATGTTGCAGCTGGCCGTCGAGATGGCCTTGTTGGCGATGGCGTCGGCGTCGTAGCCGACCATCTCCCAGATCTCCGACTGCGGCATGTCGGCGTTGGGCAACGCCACGATCTTGGGCAGCGCCTGGGACGCCGGCACGCCCGTCTTCTTGTCCGTGAGGAAGCCCAGCTGGTGCACCGTGCGCGGCACGTACGCCGGCGCAGTGAACACCTGGCGGACGACACGCGTCATCACCCGACGCGCGGGTCCCGGCGGATGTCCCACCCCGGTCACGGGCACGGTCCAGGCAGAGTCACAGAGCCGCGTGTGGGTACCGAAGCATGTTTCATGGCAGCAGCGGGTAAGGCCACGGTCTCGTCGTCTGGAGAGACATACCAGGACCAGAATACAGCGTAGCACAAAAAGAGGCAAAGCGTGACGTCTGGAGAGACATACCAGGACCAGAATACAGGGTAGCCCAAAACAGGCAAAGCGTGACTTGGTCAGACGACACGGTATAGTTCGGAACCGCACTTGAAAGAAGGCGATGATGGACGGTTGATTGCACCACTCTGCCCTCAGCGGGACCCGAAGAATATAGCCAGTGAACTTTTCAACCCGTCATCCTGCTGTTTACTTTACGAAAAATTTAGACAATAGCGCCGTGCCGGTCGCCTTCCGCACGTTATGTTACCTCTCGGGTATGCGGGTTGATCGCCCGCCCTTGGATAAGTATGACATCGTCGAGTAGGTCACCGGACGTGAATGTTTTCTTGTAGTCCAGCTTCGGCATGAAGCACTTCTCAACGTAAAGCTTGATTTTCTGCTGCGTCCATGACTGAAAGGGAGAACATCATGGTTCACGGATCACTTGGCGTGTTGTATGCATCCGGCACCAGTTGAATGTGAGGGAAGTGGAGCTTGTAATGTGTGACTATTTTGCTTTCTCCTTCAGGGGTTTTCACTTCACTTGACGCTTATCACTCGTAACATAGTACAGCAGAGAGAGAAAGAGAGAGAGAGAGAGAGAGAGAGAGAGAGAGAGAGAGAGAGAGAGAGGAGAGAGAGAGAGAGAGAGAGAGAGAGAGAGAGAGAGAGAGAGCGAGAGAGAGAGAGAGAGAGAGAGAGAGAGAGAGAGAGAGAGAGAGAGAGAGAGGAGAGAGAAGAGAGAGAGAGAGAGAGAGAGAGAGAGAGAGAGAGAGAGAGAGAGAGAGAGAGAGAGAGAGAGAGAGAGAGAGAGAGAGAGAGAGAGAGAGAGAGAGAGAGAGAGAGAGAGAGAGAGAGAGAGAGAGAGAGAGGAGAGAGAGAAAGAAGACAGGGGAAGGCATCACAGAGGTAGAGAGAGAGAAAGCGGGAAGTCGTTTAACTCCATAAGCTAAATAAGTGCCCCACCTCAACTACGCCGTGTCAGTTTAGCGCAAGTCACGATGCATACAAGGAGATGGTTAGCACGCGTTCCAGTGGAGGTCAAATAATTTCGGAACGGCACGTTACAGCCACGTCAAGCGTTGAATATATTAAAACAAATAAATGTCTACTTTTTATATCAAACATAAGCTACAACTTGTAAGGTCGCTGACCTATGGCAAGGCAAAGTCACACCATGACTGTCGGCAAAGGCAAGTCTTAATGAATAGTTCAATACGACGTCACTGTGCAGTGTTAGACGAACTCAAACAGCCGAGAGACGCTTTTTGGACAATTAGACTATTGAAATTGGAATTATAACTAATTTCGTGAACCTTGGGTAAGTCATTTGTCATGGACATGGGTTGCCGGGCGTTGCGCATTTAACCGGTCACTCAGGTGCGTGCTAAAAAGCAACAATTTGGGGCGGGAAGGGGTAGCAAAGGGTTATTTAGTTCCTTGGTTACGCTATCAGCATTCGTGGATGTTTCAATTTTGGTATCTATAAAAACCGTGGAGCACACACTGATCCAACAAAATACTCATACGCCGTTTGGTGTTGAAGTCTCCTTTTCAATAGCGAGGTATAGCAGGAAGTTAACATGACTACTCCATTGGAACTGCCAAACGGTCTTAAGGCTGGAACGGTCACTTGACAGCATTCATCGGGGGTGTTTCTGGGTGCATACGTGCGTGTTGGTGTATGCTTGCGTATGCGGACGTGAACGTGTGCGTTCGCGCATGCGTCCGTGTCGGTTTTGATACGCCGGTGTGTGTGTGTGTGTGTGTGTGTGTGTGTGTGTGTGTGTGTGTGTGTGTGTGTGTGTGTGTGTGTGTGTGTGTGTGTGTGTGTGTGTGTGTGTGTGTGCGTGTGTGTATGTGCGTGTGTGTATGTGCGTGTGTGTGTGTGTGCGTGTGTGTGTGTGCGTGTGTGTGTGTGTGCGTACATGCATGTACTTAACACTGTATCTCAATAAAGTATGCTACCCAACCGTTTAATTACACTTTTGAAGGTGGCGGCTCATCAAGGCTATGTCATGGCATGCCTTTGAGGGTTGTTTTAGACCCATGGCAACATGACTCTCAGAGCATAAGGCCAGGGATAAAACCTCAGATGATCAGGGGAAGTGCACATCCAACATAAAGGGAGCAGTTAATTCGTGACGAAGAGTAGATGAATACCTGATTATCAATTTGTGTGTCATACATCGCTGATAACAACCACTTCAAGATAAGTGCGTGAAACGCTTCTGGCAAATCCACCTGTCTACCGCTCGCAGCAAGCTGTAGTTGTAGCAATCTCGCTCCTACCACCAGGGGAAACAGGTACGCTCGGTGGAAACCGGACTCCCAGCAAGAAGGGCTTCTAAATACTTTGTTTTGCAACGGCGTGCTAGTAGTTTAATGAGAACCCGGCAATGTGCGTCGTAGTGTACCTCGTACACCTTCGCCGATATTGCGGCTATGTTACCACTTTAACCGCCAGGACACCTTGGAAAAAAGGCAAACAGCTTGGAAGTACATCTTGCAAGTTGAAGTTTGAGCTCCGATTAAATTTGACAGGTGGCCGGGGAAAGACAGTTCTGTTTCCTACCGGCAGCAGGTTGTAGAAACAGAATTGTCGTAGCTTCAACCAGCTGCAAGCGGAAGATAAGTGACCTCACTATTGTCGTTACGGCCATCAGTCCTAGATCATATTCTATCAAGGACCTTTGGTCAGGAAATCGTAAAAGTATGGTCTCATCGCCAACTCATCGTCAAACACATTCTGTCCTTCGATAACTTAATACGCGCTTCCCCCAGCATCCGAGGTTTTATCACTGGTCTTATATTGAGGGAGATCTCTCCCATGGATATCAAACGACTGAAGGGTCGTGTTGTGGCACGGCAAGGGATTTCCGCTCTAAAACTACAACACGATGGCATTGTGGTATTCTTACTTAGAGCCACGTACACGCATGCACGTACTCTCACACGCACGCATGCCTACATACAGACGCCATATACACCAGTAAGTGCTGCCATTGTATCGTTTCAACCGCAAGGTCAGTATAAATGCAGATATAGTATTAGCTCCCTGACATGCCTCCCTTTCAAGATGGCGACTTAAAAGGGCGTGTCCTTGAAATGCTCTGTGGTTGATAGGATTCGCAGATACCAAACTGAGCTTTTAAGCCACCACCTAAACACGTTTTTGAACCACTTTAAAGTGCATAACGTTTATATCGTGCTGTTAGTTCGTACAACTGTCTTGTCTTTTGGGTTCCCAGACACTTTCCTGGTTCATGCTGCAGCTGTCAGTACCACAGCAATAGCACTGGAGGAAAACACCCTTTTTGACAATTCCATATGATGTTGCATCCATAGGGTCCGCCTCCTTATGAGGCGGATGGAGGCGTTGTGAAACAATTAACAAGATATTGTCATCCCCACAGCCTTGACCCACTGGAGAACCCCTGGTCGCATACCGGGGTTAAGCCAAATTCCTTATGGCCGGCAGTGACCTCGGGTATAGCATCACCATCTGTGTCATTTTGCCGATCTGTTATTGGCCCTTTACATGCAACATCAATTTCAACGGCATTGTTTATGGTGTCAGCGTGTGCTGCACGCAACCGTGCAACTCGTAACGGTCGCTTTCGACTGTGACATCTGCATCAGTCGCATAGGCTGCTGCTTCGTTACAAAATGAAACGCCAAAGCCAGTGCAGTGCAGGTGATAGCTAGCATGGCTTGCGCAAGACACCTCAGAAATTTGGACATTATTGTAATGTTTCGGTGGTCAAAAATTTAGTGAGCTTAAGACAAGTGGATCACTTTTTATGAAGACAATGTCGGAGAGATTTATTTGACTTGTGAAACTTAACGCGGTTTGACCAAGAGCAACACTGGGGTGTTGCGAAGTTGCGGCTTCGAAGTGCAGTGCAGTTGCAGTTGGTGCAGTTGGTTCAGTGCAGTTGGTGGACTGCTTAAAACAATAACAATTTTAATAAACATGGTTTCTTAGATATTGTAAAAAATGTCGCAGAGTTTCCAAAATGTCAACAACATCGCAAAAGTACATCCTCAACTTTTTGGCGCATCATGATGTAATTTCGAACATCTGAATCTGTAGACACTCGGCATAAATTTTTCATATATGAAGACAATCGGAGATCTTGGAGACCACAAACGGTGTCATGCTAGGACTTAAACCACCTTCACTCTGCAGACATATGCAAAGTTAAAAAGACAGCGGCAAGCACGTGATCCGGCCTTGTTCGACCAAGACTGACGGGTCAATCATGAAATATTGTTAAAAATAGATAGGGGTAAAAAAGTCGTGAGTACGCCTTGAGCTACCACTCAATTCTTTTGGGTGTTGACAGAAAAGACCTTCAAAAACAAATATTTTCTTTCCAAGTAGTTGGAACAATGCGACAATCAGATGATATATTCATGCATTATACCATTTATATAAACTATGTAATTGCGCCCGTGCCTACCACCTCATAGAGGCAAGGATTTCTCAACAGAGAACAGGATGTTGCGGTATTCAGTGCAGCTGTACCATTGAATTAAGAACGCTCTTGACTCGAAGGCCGATACCGGTCCGGATCCATCAACGCCAGAGATAGATATAATAAACTCGCCATAAGTCAATGATGCTTACATCGATTAAAATGGATGCAAACACAACGAATACCCATAGTGAGCTAAAACCAACAGCAGCCGGGTTACACCGGAAACCGGCCTGATACTACGTGCACGCGTGGAACTCAAACGCCCCCTGGAGACTGCCCGTGCGCAGCTTTCCACGCCATGTCCTTGGCACGCGTTTTGCCACAGCGAAACAAAACACGCCATCAGTGGGCCATTTCACAGGGAATGCAGCGCAGCGTCGCGAGACTCTTTCTCATCACCAACAAGCGCTCAGAATGTATTCTCACGAGTGCTCTGCCACGGGAAAACAAGCGCGAAAGCCGGTCACGCCACGCGACGCCGCCTCTGCCACGGTCGGCCACGACATGCGGGGCCACGCAGCCCGCCACAAGGGCCACCGGCCGGCAGATGAGGGCACCAGGACAGATAAAGCTCCGCTGATCATGACGTCATTAGTTTTGTCGGCTACCAGAGAATTGGAAAATTTTATAAGGGGATGACAGTCGTCTTGAAGACATGCTTCAAATATGTACGAAATAAAAGGAAATGCCTGAAGTTTGAATGATTCTCCGGTTCGCTCAAGTATTATGTGGTCCTTTTGTGTTATCACTTCATACAAATTTAAGTCACCTTGATAAGTATAGAATTTTTGTTTCGGGTTGCTTCCAAAGGCGGATTAAGCACATACCCATCCATACTATGCGGACGTAGTGGAGAGGACTATGTTTTAAACTAGTCGAAATGCCCCGAAGGTAACATCGAGATGCCCACGCCTCAAATTAGCTCGAATAACATGAAGTGAAACGGCTAGGAATAATAACCTGAATCTGTCAGAGGTCTGTATGAATACTCCGGTAGGCATGTTGTCAAGCGACAATGTTTTGAACATTGTGCTTTGTAAACTTTCGTGGTAACCATTTAGATCTGAAACCATCTACACTTAACATGCTTTTGCAGTGCTCTATCATATAAGGGGAAAAATGATAAGGTTAACATTTATCAAGCCACTGCTATGAATGTGTGGAAAATATATCGCGCAAGAATACAATTGTATCCTGATTGCAGCACTTGTTTTTGTCTGACGTGTCAGTTTGGAATGCATGCCTGCATTGATACCAGTGCCGAGCGAAATCACCCACCCGCTCATTTTTGCAGAACACGGTCCGTCTCTAACCTGGTACTGGGCCTGGTCCATGAGAACGTTGATGGCCACCCGCATTCCAATGCTGCGCCATATTAGGTACTCCAGGTTTTCAGGCCCTTCGTTGAACTTCGCCATCATCTCGGACATCACCTGGTCAGAGGACAATACGGTCAAATGGCGGATCAGATTAGGTCAGATGATGCATCACCACACGGATGTATGCGGTGGCACTCAGAACGAACTTGAGTCAAGATAAAGGCTGATAGAAATAATTAAACGATGTTGACGCTTGGATCGCCGGATATTACATAATATACAAACAAAATCTAAGATTGGTGGTATAGCATTGACAAATTTATGGCGTGATCAACAGTGGCTATTCTCGTCGGCTATCCGCGTCATCGCAAAACAAATAAAACTCACTACCGAGATTGGACGCGAACCATGTGCCAAGTTTCAGGAGATTGGGCACAAAGACATAATCACTTATACGGCGATGTGTATGTAGGGTTACTATCTGCTCGCATGCTCAACAGAAAACAAGCCCGACGCCGCCGGCTCGAAGAAGCACGTCAGCTGACACTTGGTCTCGAACACGCGCGACCTTCTCGCCAGCCGGACATAGCGCTCTCTCACCTCGTTGGGGATGTAGTAGGCCTGGACGGCGGTCTCGCACTGGACACTGGCGTCCCGCGAGCGGCCGGTTAGCAGGCCCACCTCGCCCACGACGTTGCCGGCTCCGATGTAGTCGCGCAGCACCGTGGTGTCATGCGCCGGCGACATGATCTCCGAGTTGGGCACCAGGCCCGTCTTTTGGATCTCCTGCCGTGGGAGCAGACAGACAAGCGTGCCAGTTTCGGGGCGGCGTTGTGAAAAGCTCGCGGTTATGCGAGAACATGCGTGCGTGGCTGAGGCCTAAAACAACTGACTCCCATAACGAGGTAGAAAAAGAAGAAATGAGTTGCTGTGGAAATTCGGTAACTACGCTGCATGCAGAGAAGCTATCAAAGAGAAGGGCAAAAGAGAGAGTGACAGAGAGAGAGAGAGAGAGAGAGAGAGAGAGAGAGAGAGAGAGAGAGAGAGAGAGAGAGAGGAGAGAGAGAGAGAGAGAGAGAGAGAGAGAGAGAGAGAGAGAGAGAGAGAGAGAGAGAGAGAGAGAGAGAGAGAGAGAGAGAGAGAGAGAGAGAGAGAGAGAGAGAGAGAGAGAGAGAGAGAGAGAGAGAGAGAGAGAGAGAGAGAGAGAGAGAGAGAGAGAGAGAGAGAGAGAGAGAGAGATGGATAGAGAGAGAGAGAGAGAGAGGGAGAGACGTAAATCTATCGTGGCCCGTCTTCCATGCATTTGCATAGGAGTTAACGTGTTCTTGAAGGGAGGATGACCGAAAATTGATGGGAGGGGCAAAGCCCCTCAAACAGATATGAAATAATCACCATCCATGTTTGTAATCAAATAAGGCATTTTAGGGTGATATATGACATTTCTGCCTGGGCGATTTCTATCTGGTTCGTAATTCTGCAAAAGCAGTTCGAGAGCTGGGATCTGAGCACAGAATAATGGTTAAACCCCCCCCCCCAAACTAAGCAAACAAAAAATTAACACTCTCTAGCACCCCCCCCCCCCCCCCCCACCCCAACCGGATGGGAAAATACACCCCTGCGCATAGCATTGATGCTATTTTGATATGCACCCAACTGGTCACCTGTTGCGTCTTTGAAATATTTGGTGGGACATGAAGTCATTATGCGCTTTGTGTATTATTGGCTATGGTAAGGTGTAGGTGCATCCAAAGCGCATAAATTTTACCGTCACTTTTTGCGTCACTCTGGTGACCCAGACAGAAAAAAACGCACGTTACATTGATAAAGTCTAGCGTTGCAGGGACACTGCGGTAAAAATGTCTTCGCATGTAAACCATACATCTGAGTGTTTAGAGTTCGGCGCACCGCTGCCACAGTTTTTGACCCACCGAGTGTCAATGTTTCAGGGAACTATAGTGTTGTGGAGGTAGCTTCAGGCAAAAATAACCCGGAACATTTTTACGGGCAAACAATTTGACTATGCATTGCAACTGAGCCCGGCCTCAAATCGCCGCACGCAAGCGCGAGGTTCGGCGCACCAACGTTGCGTAGGTGACCGGCGCAGTGAACGGGATTTTCGCGGATTGATACTCTGTCAAACTCATCTGGTGCTGCCGCTCCTGCCTGCAATCAGCTGATCAAATCCGAGATAGTCGTTAAACCTTGTGCTAGCACTTCAGCTTCCACTTCAGTCCCGTACGAGCGATAAAGGTCATATGATCAGGCACGTAGCTCAACTTTTCTCCAGGGGGTCAAGTGTCAAACTTCTCCGAAATCCTGCGGAACTGAATAAAAGTACAAAATTGCCCACTGTGTAGTGTAAGCTTCTTGACTCATGAAAGGCCATGACCCCCCGTGGAGCCTCCCTCTTAGCTACGTCCCTGCACACAGTGACGTCATGGTGTTCATGCCAAGGAAGACAGTGAGTGCGGCTATAAACGTGAGAAGCGTGTGAGCGAATGGTGGGGTGCTGTTTAATGACGTTGATCGACTGATTTTCGGGGGCTGCTGCTATCTCAGTGATTTCTACCATCCTTTCCTCGTCTCGTAACACCTAGACCGACGCCGGCAACTACTGCACCATGACGATCGCGGTGTTGTCCCTCGTGCCAGTGCGCTACGTCGTCGCAGTCATGATCTTGCTCGGCATGCTCTTCAACTACATGATTCGCGTCAACATCAACCTGGCGATCGTGGCGATGGTGAACCACACGGCCGTGCCGGGTACCAACATCACCCGCTCGCAGGAGTGCGGCGGCAACGTAAGCGCGTCCTCTTCCAACGAGCCGCAGCCGGATGGGCCGTTCGTCTGGGACGAGACCATCACCGGGATCATCCTGGGCGCCTTCTACTACGGCTACGTGTGCACGCAACTGGTGGGCGGCCGCGTGGCCGAGGTCACCAACGCCAAGCACACGTTCGGCGTGGCGATGCTGGTGGCGGCACTGCTGACGTTGCTGACACCGTTGGCCGCCAACTGCGACTGGCGTCTCCTGGTGGCGCTGCGCATCACCATGGGCCTGGTGCTGGGGGTCACATTCCCCGCATCGTACGTGCTGCTCGCGGCCTGGGTGCCGCTCGGACAGATGAACTTCCTGGTGATGCTGGCACAGGGCGGCGGCGACCTGGGCACCACGTTCACGCTGCCCATGACGTCGGCCATCATCCAGGGGCTCGGCTGGGAGGCCGTCTTCTACGTGCAGGCCTGCTTCGCATTGGTCTGGTTCGCCGTCTGGATGGTGCTGGTGACCGATTCGCCCAAGAACCACTGGTTCATCAGTGCCGAGGAGCGGACTCTGATCGCCAAAGGTATTGGGCCGCGTGTCTCTGCCAGTCAGCCGCCGCTGCCTTGGCGCCAAATGCTCACCTCCGTTCCTATGTGGGCCTACCTCATCGGGTACTTCGGCGCCTGCTGGTGCTACTACAGTCTGCTCTCCGACCTGCCGCAGTACTTCAGCACCATGCTCGGCGAGGACATCTCGTCCAACGCGCTGCTCAACTCGCTGCCGTACCTGGGCTTGTGGCTGTTCACTCTGTTGTACGGATGGCTGAGCGACCTGCTAGTAGAGCTAGGCTGGCTGCGACTGATAACCGTGCGCCGGCTGGCGGGGCTCATTTCGCTCGGGCTCCCATCCGTGCTGTTGGCCATCATCGCCTTCCTCGGCTGCCAGACAACGGCGGTCGAGTCGCTGCTCGTGCTCACCATCGTGGTGGAGGGCGCAGGCTACAGCATGAGCGTGTTGCCGCTCGACATGGCGCCCAATTACGCCGGCACGATCGCCGGCATCGGCAACACGCTGGGCTCCATGCCCGGCTTCCTTGGACCGCTGGTGATCGCCGCGCTTACCGAGGGTCACGAGACGCTCTCCCGCTGGCGTACCAGCTTCCTAATCGCGGCTGGTATCGGCCTGCTGTGCGTGGTCGTGTCGCTGACCGGCTGTAGCGTTGAGGAGCAGCCCTGGAACAACGCGCCCAGCGGACGCGGTGGCGCCGAGGATGGGCGGTGCTCTGATGCGTCCGGCTTGACTTCTTTGAAGACTGTGGTAATGAAAGAACTCGGCCATGAGCAGGTGGTCAAAGAGTGCGAGCCGGAAAATATGGACTCGCAACTATAGGTGCTGTTGACACAACAAATTGTGGTTTTAATCTTGCGATGACGACGTCTTTAATTGCTCTAAATATTTGTCGTTGGTAACTGCTCAACCGGCAACTGGACGAATCTGCTCACTTACGGGTGCTCAACGAGTCAAACGATGTCAAACCACGTTGGCTGGGCCTTCAGATCATTCGTAGAATGATCACAACAAACCATCGTTTGAGACTTCTCGGCATGAAAGAATCTAGCATCGGTGAGAAATCTCATGCCGAAACGAAAACTGTTCTCGCGTGTATAACAGAAAGTGCACATAGGGCGAAGTTTTATGTCACAGGAACTACATTTTGGTCGCTGCACCCGGTCTGCCATGGCTCTGATATGCACTCAGTCCGAGGGTGTGTTTCTGACCCTGGACTCAGACCGGGCCGGGGAAGGCACGACGGGGGACGCCCCCGCTGTCCGGCGCATGCCCAGCCGTTGCTCTGAGCAGATCTTGCATTCACGGCTGCCGGAACGCGAGAGCCTAGTCAAATAGATTAGGGTTTGATGAAGTGCTACGGAAGTATCGCATCGTCGAATATGCGTTTGTTTATGTGCAACAGCAAGCTGCAGAAATTTCAGAAAGCAAAGCCACCTTTGTTGTTGCACGTAGGCCATGGCGATAGGGCTTGGATGCACCGCTCTGATCATAATTTTCCGCTGGTTTGTATCCTTGGTCTTGTGTACATGCATTGTGTAAGACGCACAGCTTGACACTGGCGGCATACGGTGCATGCCTTTACGTATGCGCTCTTGTCTTATTGTAATGCGGCGCACTTTCAAACTGAGGTGTGACAATGTGCCCTCGAAAACAGGCTCTGGTGGCAACATCTTCTGCGTTGTGTTGTGCCTATTTTTCTACGTCATTTTTCATGCTTAGTTTGGTTAAGAATGTACAATGGATTGGTAATAAAAAACTGTGACCTGAAAAGCCAGCCCAAGAACATCGCTGTAACTTCATGAACATTTTAATAACGATAGATTAGAGGCGCATCGGTGTTTGGAAAACGATATTTGCTAAGGGCGGGTATATTAAGCGTGCACCATCTATCGCGAATTTTGCTACTGACTTTCAGTGCTTTCAGCAGTGTTGTTAAGTGCTAACCATATTAAATACATTGGAAAGGATTCATGAGCAGAATCACGGGTGCGCTCATAAAACAAGACGGGGACAAATTGGACTAACATGCAGAGATCGACGCATATCCAACAACCGCGAACTTAATACCTGCGGTGCATATATCAGGGTCCCACGAGCGTCCCCTTGGATAACGTGAAGTGTAGTTAATTGAACTAAATGGTTCAATCAACTATCAAACCATAACATGAACAGATCCACAGCTGAGAGGCTAGAAAATGGAGCTAATGGAGACGAGGAAACGGAGGCATATTTCACAAACGGATCCCGAGACAGTGAAGGCAGTTCAGCTGTTTTCTCACTTTGCCTGCTCCTGGTAAGTACTTAGCTCTAGGCAAGGAATTCTCACACAAACAGACAGGAAGACGGATGAGCGGACGGACAGGCCAACGGGCTGGCCACTTGACCCACCTCCTGAAGCTGGCCTAGCTCCCGGCACTCCACTTTCAACATGCCCGACACCACCACGTAGATTCCGTCCGAGGTGTCGCCCTGGTTCATGATTTCGTTGCCAAAGTCCAGATTCACGAGCTGTGCGCGGCTCTGAAAAACGGAGGCGACGCCTATGTGAAACGCTGACATGGCACGCCGGACGGAAAATGTCCGATCACCGCCTGGCTAGCCGCGCCAGCCGAGCATCAACGGTGGCTCAACATGACAGGATGGTTAGAAGCCTGGCGAAAACATTGGTGACGCGTATCAGGCGCGAAATTTTCGCAATACAGTTGCTGACGGACTGCAAAAATTAATGCCTCAAGCCTGAGGAGCCATGCCTAACATGCAAAGTAATGGACGCATTGGTAGGGCGGGGTGCGACGGTGGAGAAAGCCATGTTTATCAAATATCACGCAGCACGACATGACTCGAAGAGTTTTCACATCAGTTAACTCGTCCGGAGAACTGTATGTTTTCTCGCTTCAATGAGGAACCCTCAAACAAATGCAAAATAGAGAGCGTGCGATAGTAGTTCGTTTTACGGTGGCCTTGACCAGTGCCGGTAATTTAATGTTACACATCCGGACAACAAGGCGCCTGTCATTTTCTCATGCCGTCCTACTCTCGTTACGCAGTTGAAAACTGACAGGTGTGCCATGACCCTCATCTTTAGCTATCGAAAAGTGGGGAATGATATTCTACTTCCATGTCCTATACTTAATGGTAAAATACATACGCTAGAAAACGTAAAAGACCACACAAAATTGGGATAATGAGACCTGGTTCTGAGGCCTGCAAACACTCAGGGCTGATGTGCTGCTTAAAGCCAGCAAGTAACCTCACCTCAAGGTGGTCAATGAGCTCCTGGTTCTTGCCAACCCAAGGGATGTTCTTCAGGAGCTCGGTTGGCGGAAGTGGAGGTAGGTAGGGCGGAGCCACCATCAGTAGTTTGACGCGGTCATCAATGATGTGTTCGAGTCTGCCGTACTCCGCTTCGTCGAGAAGACCTTCCCACAAGCAGTAACCATGCTATCAGGTGCTCCCGAGACCTCTGGCTCATTCCGTGGTTACCCTCAAGTCAGTAACGTGGACGAGGTGGCGCTTTTTTTGTCCTTGCCCTCCTTCCTTTGGAGGTGACGTAAGCCCGTGAGACTGAACGCCAAAGTAATTATTGACTGTTTAGGAGGGCTTCTGACCATTTATTCCAAAATGTATCAAACGTTTATGTTTTGAAATATATATATATATATATATATATATATATATATATATGTACATAACGTATATAGCTCATATATGTATTACGGCCGTTTGTTTTAAATTCTATAAAAACACCATGTATCAAAATAGAATCCTGAGCCAAAATAGGTGGCACGAATCCAAAAGCAGGGCACAATCACCAAGCAGAAAATATCGCGGCCTGGTAATGCCTACCATTTTCATATCTGGTGTAAACCATCGTTATCACGTGGCCAAATCGCCTTAGTCCTGGCGTGATAGATTATCGCCACCTGGCGAGACATAACCACCACCACCTGGTGACACATACCACGACACCATCTGGTGGCGTATGCCATCACCACCGGAGAAGGAAGAGTTTTAGTACGTGAAGTACGTGAAGAGTTTTACCGCTCTAACGAAACTCATCACCGTCACCCAGCGGCAAAAAATACAACTCCCAGTGCGATCCACCACCACCACAGCCGGCGGCGCCAGCCTCAGCCCGTTGACCGCGGAGGGAGGTCAGTAGAGGCATGTCATGCCTCTACTGACCTCCCTCCTTGAGGTCCGTGATCGTCTCCCTGACGTTGTTTAGCACGGAGCGGACCGCCTGGCGCGTCTTGACAGCTATGGCTATGTCAGGGTGTTCCCGCTGCAGCATGCCCAGGTCCCTAATCACCATCAGCCTGTGTGTATGTTTGGGGGGGAGGTTACTCGGATCATTGGGGCTGTCGCAGCCTGGAATACGCAAGCCATGTATTATCTGCATTTTCATGATAGCCGCGCAAACCTCTTCGGCGTTTTCGGTCCAAAACCACAATTTTCTTTATTCTGGACGACTCATTGGCGTGGAAACCCTGTGCGTTATTGTCGTTGGCGCCGGTGTCGCATGTGGTAGATTATTTCCGCTTCGAAAGCTTCCAGACTCACCTGCTCTCGTCCGATAGACGCTTCAGGCTTTCCAGAATCTGTTTGTGATCCACCATGTGGTTGAGATACTTGGAAACCTCTTCCTCACCCACCACATAGCCCTTGCCAATGTCGTACCCCAGCGACAGCCGCTGGTTCACCTGTCTATTCAAGAAGTCTAGAATCCGCGGCACCGCCGGCTGTAATGAATGAGACGCAAATATTAACATCTTACTGATCTAGCATACCATTAACATATATCGTGAGGTTAGAGTTTTCAGTTCCTTTCTTCGCGCCAATTTATTCACAGTAATGAAGCAGACATGCAACACGTTGACATGAGCCATCGCATTTCAGCGAACCTGATCTACGTTATCTATGTTTTTCATTTCGATCACACATAGCAGCGTTTTGAAACGGAAGCACGCATCCGACGAATAAGTTCAAAAAGCGGACATGTTTAGATTTAGAAAGGCACGAAGAGGAAAACCTTATCACATGGCAACAGGCAAAGGTGCACAGCTGACCTGTATTTTTTGCACTGCTCGAAACAAAATGATGATTTGAATGTTCCAGTATGTATGTCCCAGTTTCCCTCCACTTCGTTCTGACCGCCCGCATGATCACATCCATCGCATAATCATGAACCATGGCCCATTTTCCACAGGAGGAAAACGGCTTCTGAGCCGACGTGACCCCGTGACCTCACAGGCGGCCCCTAGCTCGGTTCTGGTCCGCGTCGCCGTACCTTGATGAGCCGCAGGACCCGGGTGAGGCGAAACAGACGTAGGAAGCGGATGTTACGCAGGATGGCCGGACTGAGGATCTTGTACTTCTCGTCGACGCCCTCCCGGATGACCATATCGCAGATCTCGAACACGATGTCGGCCACGGAGAGCAGCACCACCGCGAAGTCCAGCTTGTCCCAGTGCGAGTGCCAGTAGTTGCAGAAGCCGAGGCCCAGCACCTGACCACGACGTTTCCAGCAGTGACACACCAGGAAACTGGTCCGAAAACACATGTTTCCCATGTAATGGTAATGCATGAGGTGATTGTTGAGGAAGCCATGCATGAAAACCCTTGCATTTCGCTTCGTTAACACGCGCCCGGGTTGCCGGTTAAATACCCTTTGCTCGGGTGGGCTGGGGATGGGCAGTTTGAATCCCCGAGATCTCAAAAATTGAGAGAGCTAGATATAAAAAGATTCACAGAGTGGGTTGGTCTGCATGTGATCTCACATGTGTCAACATTTCAAAACCCTAGCTCGTGACCTTGGGGTTAAATAAGGTCAAACAAAGTCAAACTTAAGATTGGTGTCGGAAGTGCCCCCCCCCCCCCTCCCAAGACCCTCCTCATGGGAGTGTCTTTGACTAGCTGGCTGCTCTCAACAAATGTCACTAGTTTCAATTTAAGGTCAGTCACCTTTTTACCTTCGACATCCCGACTTGACTCGATCAAACAAAATGATGGCGAAATTATCTTGCATCTTCACGATGGGTCTCTAAAATCACCTACCTAATTTCAACACAAAATGCATACCTTTCATGCATGCATGCACTTTGCCTTTCAAAAGTGGACAAATGTGTCAGGCTTCCCTGCCGACGGAGTACTGCTGACCTTTTCTCCGATGACCTTGTGCACGACCATTTCGTGCCCGTCCGCACCAGTGATGTTGATGGTGCGGTCTGCGGAGGAGCCCAGGTACGGGTCCTGGTAGATGATGAGCGCGAGCGAGAGCCAACAGCGCCGCGCAGGCCACCCCAGATGATGACGAGCGGGCTCTGCCACGACAAGCCGTAACCGATCCGCGACAGCAGCGGGAAGAACATCACCATGACGCCTCTGAACGGTCGCCAGAAGGGGGGGGGGGGGGCGTCAGCTGGGCGGAGAGAATGTGAGCCATCCGTCCAGTCCGGCGTGAGTCAACATCGTGTACGGCTTTACAAATCGGCCAGCGGAGCGATTTCCGCAGGGGTTGGTGTAGAACCGATACCAGACAAACGTAATAATAGTTCAATATCGTGTGCATGATAAACACATCTACACGAAGATGCGCTAACCGATGTTTCGAATTTATATAGGCGACCTCATGACTGATCTCTTGAGAAGCATAATGCACCACCTGGTCATATCTGCGATCCGAAGAACTTCTTTGACGATTTACCTAACACTTGCAAAGGGCCAACACACCTCAGTATTAGGCCAACTGGTGCTCTGTAACACAGCATTAAATTTTGCCGATTTATTAAGGCAGCGCACAAACGTGATTCAAGGACCGTTCACTATTTGAGCCAGGTAAGGAACATATATATATATATATATATATATATATATATATATATATATATAAAATGCATATTAAGACAGAACCGAACCTGTTGAAGTTTGCTCCAATGTAGAGAACGAAGGTGTCCAGCAGGTCCTTCTTGGTGAACGCCACTGCTGCCTGCTCTGTGATAACGATGCCGACCAGGATGAAGATGACGGTGTTAGCCAGATAGGCCAGCATCTCCCAGAACCTGTACGGCAGCCATACGTGATCACGTGCTGTTGTGACGAGGCCATGTCATCGCCCACATGTTTGGTATCATTTGATGCTGGCAGGCATAAATGTTATGTCCCCGCCTGATTCTAACGTAGACCAAGTCATGGAAACGCTTGCAGCATTCTAAATGTGACATACATTATTGTTTCCCACCAATTAGGGCTGTCTTTGAAACCATTCGAATCATTGGGTGTATTGTTTCGCCGCAGTGTTTCGGCAAAACGCACCTTAAATAGGGTTCTTGTCCACGATTGGAAGGTATAAATCTTTCGCTCACAAACAGTATTTTCTGCGCTAACATCATATTTAAACACCCCTGTGAAATGGCTGAGACCACCAATACTTTGAAGTTGATTTTTATTTTAAGAATGCAGCATTCGCGATATATTTTAGAGGAACATCAAGACCTAAATCAAATGGTTTATAATCGAAAAACACGAACTTGTTCTGGAATGCTAAAAAGTTGACATTCTTTTGTGGACTAAACCAGCAAATACGGGAATGGTTTCAGTCAGAAAGCGCTTCACACGCTCTGAAATTAGCCGTTCGAGGAGGGCACGTGCTCTTGACAGCACCTCTTTGGTACCCTGCCGCGGTTCACTGTATATGTGCAAAGATGGTTCCACTTCAGGCGAAATGGACGTCTTCTTGGAGTTTATGACGACACCCAAGCAGACAACAGCCATCACACCAAATACCTCTGCGGAAAAGATAATCGATTTTGACGCATATATTGCAGCATCATGCGACCAACATACAACGTGAAAGTTGGGAAGTGACTAATGTGATCATAGTGAACATATGATAAAGCGAGGAACGCCTTTGAAAGCATCAGTTAAGCGTCTTAGAAAAATGCACGCATTGATCGTTTTCGCGAGAATTGCAGGCCCTAAACACTTGAAAATGTGTTACAAATGCCTGATAGTTGTGCACACGACTTCGTTTCTTCCACGTTCGAGGGCATTTTTGCTCACTCAAAATGACTTCACCAACGTAGAAAGTGAAATACGCCGCTACGATCGTGAGCGTGATTTCAGATACGGCGTCGTTGAAGATCCGAGAGAGCCAGAAGACGACGAAATGGCCACAAGCTACAAGGTGGTGGCCTTGTGAGGCCGTTCATCACCTGGTCGTTTGGTAAAGCAATGGTTTGCACTCCTCCACTGTTACCTCCTACATCAACGTCGCGATGAGTGGTATTTCTGACCCTCCAAGGAGGTTGGTGGTCCAGCGGCACCCCACTGGTCGTGCGCGGCCGACTGCGCGGCAATAAGTGGCGCACACGGCGGCCGTGACTCACGAGCCCACTGCTGGTCACTTGGCCTCCCCGCGTGACCGCCTCACTGAGCAGATGGACGGAAGTACGCCATTACGGATTGGTGCGCCACCTCCAGTTCACCGGCACCGTTGGACAGCTTCGGAACGGACAAGAGATCAGCGCTGCAGCTCCACGAATCAGAGCTTCTGACTGATTTTGTCAGAACTGCTGTAGCCGAACGTATGTATGCGGCTTCAGAATGTGCACAGTAAGTGAACGCAATACTTGGTATCAGGTCCAGTTACTGGGGCGTGCATTTATTAGATGCTGATCTACGGAAATGAACAGCTTAAATTAGGCACCATTGTGGCTAGAGGGAGCTTCTGGGGCTATTCCCCGCCATCTGGAGGTGACGTAGCCCTTGAGGCCAAACGTTCCAGTGCGTTTTGTTACTTTAAGACGCCCTCCAGACTTTTTAAACGTAACACATGACCATTAACACTTCAAAGCTAAACCTCAAGCCAGGCGATCTTCAACTTAAAAAAAAACATAGTTTCTTAGATTCCTTTGCGTTGAGGAAAAGCATCACCTGTAAACACTTCAGCCACCTCCCAGGCAAAACCCGTCTACGCCACTGAAATTAATCGTCGTGTGTCGGCCCCTTGCTCGCTATCTCGATGTTCGGTGGAGCGACTGGGTACCGCGGGAG